AAAAATTCTAAGATGAATAAAAATCACAAGTTTTTTACACAATTTCGGTTTCACCTTTTACATGCTAAGTCCTGTCGAAACAGACTTCTTACTCCATTCATTGCTGATGGCCACAGTAATGAACCTTAACACCTATTTCAGATCTGACTATAACACCCTTAGCAGGGTTACAAAGCGCGCTATATAAATGATTATGGTCATTGCCAGAGCGGATGCGTTTATGGAAACAAGTCTGTAAACCGGAATGTTCATCAAAAACCCAACAAACAGATCGTTGGTCTTACCAGAAATGGTCTTTTCGGAGCGGACGTATCAATGGAGACTCGCCTGTAAACCGAACCGACTATTCAAAATCTAACTAACATATCGTTGGACCCGTCAAAAGACATGCTCGTTTTCAGAATGGGTGCATCAGTGACAACCCGCATGAAAGCCACGCTACTTTGAAGTCTAAGGTACGTTCGTCTTTAGATGAAATTTGCCAACTTAGACATTAACTCATTCTAACAGAGCAAAGTGGTCTCTCGGAGTGGATATGGCAGTGAAGCCTTCTCTACAAACCAGAAAGATCATCACGACTCCAACAAGTACGTCGACGACTTCGGCAACAGTCTGACAAACCGCGCCTTTTGGCACTTGGTATTTTTACGAAATGAAAGTACGTTGTTACTCAAAAAAGGCAATCATAATAAAAGACAAAATCATAATAGCGTCTCGCATCACTGCGCAATAAAAGAAGTCTGGAACAAAAGGATAAAACTATCAAGGTGCTAAATCCAAACCTAAAAACCTAGGCAAAAGAGGTAGCAAAACGCTGAAGGTCCGAAAAACAATAAAACAGAAGTAAAACTAAACGGTCTCTTCGACCTCCATCCCGTCGTGATCTGCTGCTGTGTTCGTTGCATCCTCCGCGGATACTTGCTCGGGCACCTCGGCTCCTTCGTTGAATACCTGCTCGGTCACCTCGGTTTCCTCCTCGGGCACCTGCTCAACCGTATCGGTGCCCGCGCGAACAGGGGGAACAAACCCGTCGTCCTCGAGAGTACCTCCTAAGAAGGGCATAAGAGATCAAACTTAGCATTTTGTTGTGTTCTGACCAGAAAGGGGATATAAAGACTGGGGTTACAGTTCTTACCTCTTGAGAAAGGGACAGCCACCTCGGTCACCTGCTCTGTAGGCACGGCAGTCGGATCAGTAGCAACAGTAGCAAGTGCCTCCGGCTCAGGAACTAACTCCTCCGAAGTGGTAGGGCCCGACGCCGTCTTCCTAGCGCTAAGAGTGGATAATCCCGGAGTCTTGCCGTTAGTCCCTGAGAAGTCACGCACGCCCAGCGATGCCGCAGCTACCTCGATGTGCTCACAGTCATCCAGCTTGACCGGCGGGGCGCTAAGAATCCTCCTAAGGTTCGCTACCTCGTCTGTAAGCCTCTGATGGGCTCCTGCAGATCCAGCCACCGCTGCCGTAAGCTCTGCCTCCTCGCTCACGTAGTCTGGAGGGACCTCACTCTAAGCCTCTTGGACGAGCTGTAAGTTGCTCTCAGCCTGAGCCAGGTCAAAACTCTCCTCTCTAGCTTTCTCAACGACGTCCAACTGCCTCTCGATACGAGTAAGAGTCTCCCAAAACTTGGTCGCCAGCTCGCATTTCGCCCCATGAACCGCTTGCTGCATATTCGCCTCCCGCTTCTCGTACCACTTCAACTTTGCGTAGTAGCCTTCTAGCCTCTGGAAATAGCGGGTGTTGGAAGCAGATAAGTCCTCTTTTTCCTTCTGCACCTTGCTGAGATAAGTCCTCTTTTTCCTTCGCGGAGTTGTCTCGCCTCGGACTCCAAGTCAGTAGACCGCTTCGTTGCCACGCTCGCCTCACCCTTGTACTTCTCGGTGTCACGCTGCACATTCTCGAACCGACGCCTACTCGCCCTAGATTGCGCCTCGTAATCCAAAACCATCTTGTTAAGATGGGCGATGAACTGCAAGTGACAAAAACACAAAGGTGAAAATCTTTAAGGAAACAAATGATATTCTTCTTAGAGAAGGAGGCAAGGAGTGACATACCTGGATCCCGTGACGAGCCATCTCGGCGTATTTCCCGTTGCACTCCAGGGTGTCGGGAGGAGGAAAGCGAATACCAGAGAGAGTAATCCTGGAAAGTGCAGTGGGAGCAGTCTGGTCAAGGTCGAAAGCAGCCATCCCGCGGTCACTAGAGTGACGTCGTGGTTCCTTGAAAGCCCTCTCCTCAGAATGAAACTCTCTCCTGCTGTCCGTTCCGCGCTTGCGGCTCTTATCTTTGTGACTTGTCTCCTCGTGACGAACCAATGAGGCGGCAGCCAGGCGGGGCGTGCGAGTCGACTCATATCTGGTCCGAGACTCGCGGACTGAAGCAGGGGGGAGAAAACCGGTCAGCAACAGAGTCGTCCGGAATCGGAATGGCCGCGCCACCTCGGCTTTCGCATCTACCTTAAAAAGCTGCCGCTCCTCAGTATGCTGCTCCTCAGTATGCCGCGCCACCTCGGCTTTCTCCTTCTTCGCTAGCTTCAATTTGTCACGGAGGGTAAGCCTGGGAGATATGGGCGCACTGGATCCGGTGCGATTCGAAGGCGGAGATGAACCTAGAAGAGTGGAACCAACTTGCTGAGCTCTAGCTCTCTCAACTCGCTGAAAGGAGAAGTGCTTCCTCCAACGACACCGTCGAGCAATGAAGGCGTCGTGTAAACTATTCGTGTCCTCCGGGAACTTCACCAACCGCTTCGGAGCTGCAAAACAAACAAGAAACATAAAAGTGTTAGAAGTCAATTTCAAGGCAAAGCCAAGTAACTAGTCTAGAGGCTAGCTAATCTATGAGAACTGCTACCGCGAGTCCCCCATTCGGTTAAGATCTTGTCGAGCCATTTAGAACCGACGGAAGCTTCGTTTATCTTCACGAAGAAAAACTTCTCAAACCAGAAGTTATCTTTGCTGGGGAAGTCTTTGATGACCTGGTATAAGGCTCTTCCCGAGGTAAAGTAGTTAACCTTGTTTCTACTACCCGTCTTT